CACAAGAGCAACATCTCCAACGCGGAACGCAGAGCCCTAGCGGAGCTGAGTCAAAGAACTGACATCATCATCAAACCCGCAGACAAGGGCTCCGCGGTAGTGATCCTGAAAAGAGAAGACTACATCCAAGAAGCGCTACGTCAACTCTCTAACAAGGATCACTACAAGAAGACCGACTCCTGTCTCACGGAAGAACACGCCGCGCTGGTAAGAACAACTCTTCTTAAACTTCTAAACGAAGATATTATCAACGAAGACGAGTTCAACTATCTAGCTCCTGTACACCCTAGAACGCCCGCCTTCTACCTTCTCCCAAAAATCCACAAAGAAGGCAACCCGGGCAGGCCTATAATTTCTGCTAACGAGTGTGCCACAGAAAGGATCTCTGAGTTTGCTGACTTTCATCTCCGCCCACTGGTTCAAAGACTACCTTCCTACATCAAGGACACTACAGACTTCCTACAAAAGCTGCACACACTCGGGAAGATACCATCAACAGCCAAACTGGTTACCCTAGACGTGTCATCCCTGTACACTAACATCCCAACAAAAGAAGGGATTCAAGCGTGTCGAGAAGCCCTCGATAGGAACCCATCGGACGTCCCTACAGAAGCCATCTGCGATATATTGGACAGGATACTGAACCTCAACAACTTTGAATTCAATGGAGGGCATTACATCCAGGTCCAAGGCACAGCTATGGGAACGAGAGTGGCACCCTCATACGCCAACATCTTCATGGGAAAATTCGAGGAACAACACGTCTATAAGAGGAACCTCAAACCACTTGTCTGGTGGAGGTACATAGATGATATCTTTGCCATCTGGACACATTCAGAAGAAGACTTCCAGTCCTTCATACAGGACCTTAACACAGCACACCCCACCATCAAATTCACAGTAGAAACATCCACTACCTCTATCCACTTCCTGGACGTCACCATCAGCATCTCAGAGGGAGCCTTCGCGACTGACCTCTACACAAAACCCACAGACAAGCACCAGTACCTCCTAAGGAGCTCCTCCCACCCCACCCACTGCAAACGGGGTATCCCCTTCGGGCAATTCCTACGCGTACGAAGAATCTGCTCTGACGAACCCAAATACAGGGAACGAGCACAGCAGCTAAAAGAACACTTCCAGAAAAGAGGTTATGAAGACACACTCCTGGACGAAGCTGCACAACGCGCACTGAGACGCCCAGGAAAGAACTCCTAGGACCCAAGAAGACACAGCCAACTCAACCAAGACCGACCAGTACTAGTCACCACCTACAATCCACACCTACCACCCATCAACAACATCCTCAGAAAATATTGGAACATCCTGCAGTTATCACCCCGAACACGAGATATCTTCAAAGACCCACCACTCATCGCTTACCGCCGCAACAAAAATCTGAGGGACTCACTGGTACGGGCCCGGATCCCGAAGGAAAACAAGAACTTCATAACGAAAAACATCCCTTCGGGCTCCTACCCATGCGGACGAAAGTGCCTCACCTGCACATACGTCAGGAAGAATAAGGACTTCCACAGCCATCGCACTTCGAGACGCTATAACATCAGGGCCCATATTACATGCCGCACCAAGAACATCATCTACATGATACAGTGCAAAAAATGCGGCATGCAATACGTCGGAGAAACAGGACAGACGCTGGCCAACAGGTTGAATGGGCACCGATCGTCCATCAAAACGGACAAAGACACTCCCATCTCTGCCCATTTCAACCAACCGAACCACACCGTCGCGGACATGGAGGTCATCGGACTTGAAAAGCTGACATACGGCAGAACCGAAGACATCACCCGACAACGGCGCCTTCAGAGGGAATCGTACTGGATCCATCAACTCCGTACACTTCACCCAGAAGGACTCAACCTAGAATCGCTGGAAATTACCAGGGTATGAGGGGTTAAGAAGTAAAGTACTCGTCGTAACCGGCACAAACCTCTGTAATCATATTTAGTTTTCGCATTTGTCGGTTACTAGTATCCTATGGATCCGAGCACTTACGTACCCACTTAGGAATTTTCAGAAGGTTGTGGTATTTATTATTATTTATTTTCTTCACTCAATGTTCGCACAACAGAATTCCTGTTCATGTATTTGCTTAACTCTGCTTGCACGGACCACTCACTCAGACTGTTATGCATACACCATTGTAAACGTCACCATGACGTAATAACTGTAAGTTGCCTCATCCTCCAATGTAAAAACAGGACCTAATTGACATAGGCAATTGTTCTAGAACAATGGATGAAGTCATACCATCGGTCAATCAAGGTCAACTGAGGTCATGGCAACCTAACCTAGTGCATAGTACTCAGTGCATAGTGAACTAGACCTCCAGGTCAGTGCAATCCAGCCTAAACAAGGGCAATATGAGATGCTTAATGCTGATTGGTCAATATCTAATACTCGAGCAGAGCGCCCTGCACTAGATAGGCACGGTAAAAGTATAAAAGGAGGAGTGGTCCGATCTCTGTCATTCTTGATAAAGACTGAATTAAAGTCGAAACCGGTCGAATTCCGTCTCGAGTCTGTCATCTTCCCATCGCTACGAATCATGGACAGACAAACACTTGAATCCCTTAATCACTTTCTTGTTATGCAATAGTATGTGCGATTTGATAGACTTTTAGCCATTTTATTGATAGCATTAGGAAGGCTGTGGAAGTAAAAGGCAGGGTAAGGTAAGTATGGACTCTACCTTTAAAAACTATGCCATAGACACAGTGAATAACCTACTGACTGCCCTTACAGTCACAGTGTCAAAAAAGGCCATGGGAACCTTACCTTTACCTTGTCTAAAATTAATGTTGAAATTGGCATTAGGAAAGCTTGGCAGGCAGCTATACCTGACATGGGTGCATTATCATCTGGTTATATAATTGACATTGTAAGCCCTCCTTGAACTGCCATTATGTAAGCTAGACTCAAGATTCTGTTGACTATAGTAGGGTACGAAACATATTGTGTTCTCTGGTGTTTCTTTTTCTTCTCCTTCTCCTCCTGCCATTTTGTTAAATGAATTCAATTTCTTCATTTTTGGGCCAAATAACAGGAAACATAGAAGTAAAGTAAAGTTAGTAAAGTAAAAGAAAGTAAAGTAAAGTAAAATAATAATATACTACTAATCAATGTATTTTATGACATAATTTACTTAACTCTTTTTGAGATTTCTGTTTTATATTCAGAGGACTGATCATCTAGTGACTTGGTATTCATATATATATATATATATATATATA